AGTTGAATGGGAAAGAATGCAAATTGAGAAAAGTTGTTTTGATTAGTAAGTAAAAGAGAGATATGATTAGATTGCCAGAAATTCTGGTAAATTACATTTGCAATACAATGAAAATGACATGTACCTTAGCATTTAATTTGAAAAAGTACTGAAAAATATTTTCCATACAAAAAAGTACAACTAATAAAACAAGCAATAACTCAGCCCACGGATGCATATAAAAAGCAATAATGTTCTCCTGCTTACATGAATGCAGTGTCCCTACTGTTCATTTTAATTGTTTTTTAAAATGTAGACTGAAAGAATATGAGGGGAATGAAAATATGTTACTTTCTAGTGTTGCTTTACCTCACATATTTTAGATTTTTTAAACACCAGAGTATTGTCTTTCCTTTCAACAATATGGGGAGAAATGGCTACTATAGATTTTCTGTAGAGATTGTTTTTTTTTTATTCCAATGCTGTCTATCTGTTAAAAGATTCCCCTCCCAGAGGAATTAATTATTTAAAAATAATTTCCATATATTGTTGGTAGATCATGTTTTGATTTGGAAAACCAAATTTGTAGAAAATATGATTAAGGTTAATTTTCATAGAGTATTATGGAATCTGGGAATTCAGGAAAACTAATAATGTCAGATATATCCTTTATATTTAAGATTATGACAAATTAGTTATACTCTAGTTTTAAAATGTATTACTCCCTTTGAGGGTTAAAAAACTTTGAAGTATGATTGACATATAGTAAACTGCAAATATACAAAAGTGTACATTTTGGTATATTTTGAAATGCATGTATTCTCATTAAACCATCACCCCCCCAAAAGCCTTTGTGCCCTTTCATCATCTCTCTCTCCTGCTTTCCCACACCCCTGCTCTCCACTCCTAGGCAACCACATCTGCTTTCTTTTATTATAGACTACATTTGTCCCTTGGAATTCGTGGGAGTTGGTTCTAGGACCACTCAAGTATACCAAAGTCGTACATACTCAAGTTGGAACCCACATGTATGAAAATGTCACTCTGTAGTTTTTGCATCACATGAATGCTATATTTTTGATTGACGTTTGGCTGAAAAAAATCTGTGTATAAGTGGACCAGGGCCGTTCACCCCTGTGTTGTTCAAGGGTCAGCTGTAGTTTGCATTTTCTAGAGTTTGATGTAAATGGGATCATACGTTATGCACTCTTATTTTGGTCTGTCTTCTTTCACTCAGCATAATTATTGTGAGCTTCATTTATGTTGTTGCATGTGTCAGTAGTCCATTCCTTTTTATTGATGGGTAATATACTATTGGTGGGTACATCACAATTTGTTTTTCCATTCTCCCGTTGGTGAATATTGAGATTGTTTCCAGGTTTTGGCTGTTATAAATTATGTACAATTCTGAACTTTCATGTACAAGTCTTTTTATTGACATATGCTTTCCTTTCTCTTGGACAAATATACCTAGGAGAGCAGCAGCTAGATCATATGGTAACTGTATGTTTAAATACTAAGAAACTGCTAAACTGTTTTCCAAAGTGATTGTACCATTTTACATGATCAGCAACAGTGTATAAGAGTTGCAGTTTCTCCAGATCCTTGTAAGAACTTGAAATGGTCAGTCTTTTAAATTTTGGCTCTTCTAGTGGACGTGTGGTGGTAGCTCATTGTAGTTTTAATTTTTATTCCCCTAATGGCTAATGACTACTGATGCCGAACATCTCTTATGTGCTTATTTGCCATCTGGATATCTTTTTGTAAAGTGCTTACAACGTGTAGTGCTGTTACCTCTCTATTAGTAATTTAGGTGTCTTTGTTTTATGATCAGTCAGGCTATAGGTTTATCAATTTTATTGCCTTAAATATCAGTTTTTGGTTTCATTGAATTTATTGTTTTTCTATTTTCTATTTATTTTACTCTGATTTTTATTGTTTTTTGAATTTATTTGTACTTTGTTTAAATTTGCTCTTTTTCTGCTTTCTTAAGGTGTAAGATGAGGTCATTGATTTGAGATCTTTTCTAATATAAATATTTAGTGCTATGAATTTCCCCCTAAATTAGCAGCATTCCACCAGTTCGGACATGTGTTATATAGTTTTCCTTTGGTCTTATTTTTGACCGATGGGTTATTTACAGGTGTGTTATTTAGTTTCCAAATATTGTAGTTGAGAATTTTCCAGAGACTTTTGCTAATGATTTCTAATTAATTTCATTGTGATAAAAGAATATAGTTTATATAACTTGTATTCCTTTAAATTTATTGAGACTGTCTTTATAGCTTAGAACATAGTGTATATTGGAAATATTTTGTATGTACTTGGAAAGAATGTGTTTTCTACTCTTGTTGGGTGGTGTGTTCTATGAATGTCCATTTGGGCGTGTTAGTTGATGGTATTATTCAAGTCTTCCATGTGCTTGCCGATTCTGTTTATAGTAGTCCCCCTTTATCCATGATTTTGCTTTCTGAGGTTTCAGTTACCCATGGTCAACCATGCTCTGAAAATATTACAGTATTTTGCAAGAGGCACCACCTTCACATAACTTTTATTACAGTATAATGTTGTAATTGTACTATTTTGCTATTAGTTGTTGTTGTTAGTGCCTTACTGTGTCTTATTTATAAGTCAAACTTTAACATAGGTATGTATATATAGGAAAAAAAATGCTATAGATAGGGTTTGGTACTATCCAAGATTTCAGGCTTCCACTGAGGGTCTTGGAACATAACTCCTGCAGATAAGGGAGGACTGTTATATTTATCCTATCAAATATTGATAGAGAGGTATTGAAATTTATAGCTGTAATTGTGGATTTGTTTATTTCTCTTCTTTCAGTTTTTGCTCATGTATTCAAACGCTCTTGCTGGATTGACTCCTTTTTCATATGAAATGACCTTTGTCCCTGGTAATATTTTTTCTCCATAATCTTGTTTGTTTGATATTAATGTAGCCATTTCAAGTTTCTTTTGACTAGCATTAACATGGTTTATCTTTTTCCATCCTTTTATGTTTAACATACTTATGTCTGTGTGTTTATAGAACATTTCTTGTAGTTGAGTTTTGCTTTTATATCAATCTGATAATTTCTGCCTTTTAATTTAGGTATTTGGACCATTTATATGTAATGTTATTGATATAATTAGGTTCAAATATGTAATTTTGCTGTTCGTTCTCTACTTTTCCCATCTGTTCTTTGTTCGCTTCGTCCTCTTTTTGTCATTTGTTTTGGATTATTTTTATGATTCCATTTCATTTCTTTGGTTGCTGTAATTTTTTAAAAAAAGCATAGTGGTTGCTTTGTCTTTGATGGTGTACTACACCTTTAACTTACCATAGTCTATCTTCAAGTGATGTGCCGTTCCTGAATGGTGTAAGAACTTTATCATTGTTTATTTACATTTCTCTCTTTCTTTCGTGTCTGTTAGTGCGGTCATATATTTTACTTATACTTTTTATAAACCTCAAATATATTTTTAAAATAGTTATCTTCAGTTACATGTATGGTGGGATACTTAAGATTGCCCCACAGCCCTCTGATGCTGTTTTCATTTTTACAGATTCTTTTCTGTGTTCCATTTTTCATGCAGAAAATTGCTTCAAGTTCACCAAACTCTACTTCTGCAGTTTAATTTTCCATTAATCTTGTGCAGTATATTTTTTATCTCACACATTGTAGTTTTCATCTGTAAAAGTTTATTTTGGATCTTTTTTATATCTCTGTTGTGTCTGAGTTTTTGAACATATGGAACACAGTTATAATAATCACTTTTAGTATCCTTGTCTGCTGTTTTTTACATCTGTGTCAGTTCTGGGTTGATTTTGACTGATAGCATTGTGTTCTAATTATGGGTGTTTTTCTACTTATTTGCCTGTCTGATCATCGTTGATTAGATACTAAGTTTTACAGACTACCTTGTTGAGTGCTAGACATTTCTGAATTTCTATAAATACTCCTGAACTTTGTTCTGGAATATGGTTAATTGGAAACCATTTGATCCTTTTAACTTTCGTTTTAACATTTTTTTAGGTGGGCCCAGAGCAGCATTTAGTCTAGGGCATGCTGTTTCCCACTAATGAAGCAAGACTGTTAATACTGTGTCTAGTGCTTTTTGAGTTACATGGTTTCCTAGTCTGGCTAGTGCGACTGAACATGCAGTTCCCAGGAGTGCCAGGTACTCTACCTCCAATCCTTTCGGCTGGTTCTTTCCCTGACTGCAGGTAGTTTCTTGCTGAGTACTCAAGGGGAACCCTGTGCAGTTCTCTGGGATTTTCTTAGGGTGCAGCTTTCTCTTCTTTGGTACTCTGTTCTGTGAATTCTAGCTGCCTTGGAATTCTTGGACTCCTGGCTATGTCTCCTTTACTCAGAAGTCCTTCAGGCTCTTGACTGAGGTCACTGTCCTGCACTGTAGCCTTGAATTATTTCTTAAGGCAGTTAGCTAGGGAAATCTGACCTTGGCTGGCAGTTTCTTTTTTTGTGTGAGACTTCCATAGTATAGGTTTGGCACATGGTATCAGTTTTAAACTAGTTTATATTATTTGACTATATGTTATGTTCTGGACTGACTTTACAAAAAAGCACATGATCATTGCTTTTATTCTTTGAATGCAGTTAAATATAGTTTCTTAGATTATTAACAACTTATCATGTCAAATGAGAAAAGTTTCCAAAGATGTATAGAATTATGGCCTGGTTTTAGTTTTTTGTTTGTTTCCTTTTTGAAATAACGAGCATGGGGATATTAAATAAGAAGAGTTGATAAATGCTATTTATCTCATTGTTATTGAGATTTTGATCAGTTGTTATAACTGCCATAGTTGATTGTGGCATTGTAACAGAGAATTTTAAACTATCAATTTTTGGAAGAACATTTAGTTTAATACATGTATTACAATCATGATCTCCTATTGGTGCTGAATGCTTTGTTGAGGTCAGTTAAAATAACATTTGAGTTTTGATGTTATTGCTTGCATTACACCTATATTTCATATGCTGTTAATCTGTCCTGTTCCAATAGAAGTCCAGAGCATGAGTCCATTCATATCCTGAGTGTTGATGAGAAGAACAAGTTGGGAGCCAAGATTATCAAAGCAGAGATGATGGGGAATATGGTAAGACTTTTAGATATTGTTTTGGAGAATAGTGATCAAATATTTAACTTCTTATGAGTAATTTTAGAAGTTCCTTAGTAGTGTGGATATAGCACACTGTGAAAGTAACTGTTGATTATTGATTCCTTAAAGAAATTCTCAGGCCTGTAATCCCAGCACTTTGGGAGGCCGAGGCAGGAGGATCACTTGAGGTCAAGAGTTTGAGACTAGCCTGGCCAAAATGGTGAAACCCCGCCTCTACTAAAAATACAAAAATTAGCCTGATGTGGTGGCGTGTGCCTGTAATCCTAGCCACTGGGGTGGCTGAGGCAGGAGAATCGCTTGAACCTGGGAGATGGAGATTGCAGTGAGCCAAGATCATGCCATTGCACTCCAGCCTAGGCGACGAAGTGAGACTGTGTCTCAAAAAAAAGAAAAAAAAAATTCTTGAACCTTTCTGTGAACAGTACTATCTGCCTACTTGTAAATAAATGATCTACTTTCTCTGTCAGATCTCTGAAATTTAAGATCCTAAGGAACTTCATGCTTTTAAATTTCTTTTTTTACTTTGTTATTTGCTTTCTTCCTGCATTTCTAACTCATTGAGCATATTTAAGGGAGATAAAGATGTCACTTTTTCCACCTCATTTTTGTCATGTATTTTTAAGAATGTTTTTTACTTTTCCAAATTACTTAGGAACCTAAAAAAGGAGGATTAAGTCATTCAAGTTTTCAGTAAATGTGCTGTGCCTGATAGCCTGATACTGTGTTAGATGCTTTGTGTAGGCTAACTCATTTAATTCCTGTAGTAATGTTTGATTTACGACTAATTTACCTCAGAATTGTAAGAAATAGGGATGATTGGTAAGAGCTGCATTTATCCATTCGTCCATTCATTTATTGTCACATGCATATTAAAATAATATACAGTGAGATGTATATATTAAAGTGCGCATAGCAGAATAGCACAGCCAGATATTCCACATCTTGATAGAATAGATTTGGTCATGGTCATATGTATGCACTCATCTCAAACCCAAATATAAGGGATCTTTAGGTAATCTTATGTTTTGGCAAACTATTAGTACAGTACTATAGTAGAACAAATGGTAACCAAACAAGATATTTCTGTGTTATGTCTAATAAAGGGCATATCTTGCATATGCTGCTCTCTTTGAATCTGATCCTTGGAAACACTGAATTTCCACTCATCCTAGAAATTGATAAGGAAAATAAACAACAATAACGATAGCAAGAAAATAAAGTTTGAGCTTTGAAAGTACGGAGGAATTAGTTAAAATAGTGAAAGAGAGGTCATCTAGGTAAAAGGGTAAAATATGTGTTCTTGTATTCAAGAAGAGCACTGTGGTGGCGCTTGCTGTTCTTTGCATGTCACATAAATCTACTTATTTAATTTATTACTTCATGGTTTATTGCTTTATATGACAGTTGTTTTATATAAATTTCTGTAAGTTTCCTAGAGTAAAAATGAAATATATTCAGAATTTTCGTCCAAATTATCAGCAGTAAAGAAGGTAACATTTTAAATCTTGTGATAGCTTTTTTGTTACCAATAACTGAAGTTGAAAGTATTGAACTTTTATAATATTTAGTAATTATTAAAATGTCATTAAGGTTATGTATTTCCTTCATCTATGTCCTCCAAAATATATGTCCTTGTAATTATTTATCTTTGAAGCATAAACACATCACAGGTATTCAAGGAGTTTGTAACTGAGATAAGTTCATTAAAAAGTAATACACTAGGCTGTGGGTTGGTAGTTGAAATTAGATGGTGGCTACATGAGTGTTGGTTATACTATCTTTCCTTCTGTTGTGTAAATTTGAACATTTTGTTGTAAAGAATTAAACTACATATTGCACATATTTTACTTGTTTTTCTTTTTGAAGGAATTAGCTGAACAACTTAAAGCTCAACTTGAAAAGGCAAATAAATTCAAAGAAACTGTAACACAGACACCAAAAAAATCTGGGGTAGAGGTAAGTAATAAAAGTTTGGAGAAAATTACCTTGTATAACACTACTACTGGGCAGTGGTAATATTTTATTTTATTTATTTTTTTGAGACAATGTCTTGCTCTGTTGCCCAGGCTGGAGTACAGTGGCGTGATCTTGACTCACTGCAACCTCTGCCTCCCGGGTTCAAGCAATTTTTGTGCCTCAGCCTCCTGAGTAGCTGGTACTACAGGTGTATGCCACCATGCCTGGCTAATTTTTGTATTTTTAGTAGAGACGGATTTCACCATGTTGGTCAGGCTGGTCTTGAACTCCTGACTTCAAATGATCTACCCCCCTCGGCCTCCAAAAGTGCTGGGATTATAGATGTGAGTCACTGTGCCCAGCTGGCAGTGGTAATATTTTAGTGTGAGATGTGTCTGTATATGTGTCTGTGTGTTTCTGTGTATGCATGCTTGTTTAAAAAAATTTAGTTTTCTATGTATTCTCTTACATTCTATCAGTGTGCCCTAGTGGAAAAAAGCCTCAGGCTGAGACCAAGGGGACCTGCTTTTATTCTGGACTGTGCTGCTTACTGATTGCTTCTGTATGAGTCAGACTGCTCCTTAACTTGTCTCCTTCAGAATGAAGGACTTGAATTAGATACTCATTTCATATAAAACAAATTACTGACTGGGTGTGGTGGCTCAAGCCTGTAATCTCAGCTCTTTGGGAGGCTGAGGTAGGTGGATCATGAGGTCAGGAGATCGAGACCATCCTGGCTAACATGGTGAAACCTCGTCTCTACTAAAAATAAAAAATAATTAGCTGGGTGTGGTGGCGGGCGCCAGTAGTCCCAGCTACTCAGGAGGCTGAGGCAGGAGAATGGCATGAACCTGGGAGGCGGAGCTTGCAGTGAGCTGAGATCGAGCCACTGCAGTCCAGCCTGGGTGACAGAGCGAGACTCTGTCTCAAAAAAAAAAAAAAAAAAATTACTTTCGTCTATGATTAATTCATCTATCTGTTAGTGAACAAAACAAATAAAAACACCTACCTGCATGGAACTTTCATTTGGGTAGGGAGGGAAACAAATTATAAAAATGATAAGCAAGTTAAAAAATAATACAGTATATCAGAAAGTTACTCTATGGCAAGGTAGTGGCAATTTTGAGTGACAGGTGGGTTAGTGGCTTGGGATGCACAGGCCAATTCTCTTGAAAAAGTGTAAGGACTTTATGTAAGGACTTGTAGTTAGTGGAAGAGCGAATTTCTGTGTAGTTGAGTGAAGAGTGTTATAGTCATAGGGAACAGATTTAAAGGCCAAAAGATGGAAATATGTCTGATGTGTAGGAAGAATAGCAAGGAGACCAGTGTTGCTGGAGTGGAGTAAATGAGAGAGGTTAAGTAGGAGATACAGGTTAGAGAGACTATACGTGGCCAGATCATGTTAAGCTTTGAAAGTCATAGTAAGGAGGTGGGCTTTTTTTTTTTTTTTTTTTTTCTGACTGAGATGATGAGAAACTATTAAATAGTTTTAAGCAGAAGACATATTTTGACAGGACCGTTCTGGATTCTCTATTAAGAACGGTTTGCAGAAGCTGAAGTAGAGGTGGGCTTTTGTAATAATGCAGATAAGAAATGACAGTGGCTTTGACCAAGATAGATAGTAGCTATGGAGATGGTTAGAAGTGATTGCATTTTGTATTTTATAAATACTTGCCGTATATATTTTGAAAGAAAAGCTGACAGGATTTTTATGGTGGTTTAGGTGGGGGGTGGGTAATGGGATAAAGAGAGGAGGCAAAGAGGACTCCCAAGGTTTTTCACTTGAGCAGCTGAAAGAATAGCCGTTATTTGAGTCGTGGAAGAAAGAGGAAGAATAGGTTTTGGGACAAATCAGAGGTTCTGTTTTGGATATGAGTTTGGATGCCTGTTAGATATGGAACAAGTAGAGATGTCAAGTAGGCAGTGGGATGGTTGGGAGTAGGGAGAAGATAGAATTGGGTAGTTGGGGAAAAGTCCTTTGTACTGGAGATAGAAATTTGGGAGTTATTAACATATGGTGATATTTAAATCTATGACACCGCATGAAATAATCACAGGCATAAATGTAGATAGAAGTTGAACAGCTGAGTTCAACTTCTGCATGACAGATTTGGATGTATATGAATAACTCTAGCTGGGTGTGGTGATGTGCTCCTGTAGTCCCAGTTACTTGGGAGGCTGAGGTGGAGGATTGTTTGAGACCAGGAGGTCCAGGCTGCAGTGAGCCATGATTGCACCACTGCACTCCAGTCTAGATGACAGAGTGAGACCCTGTCTCTAAAAAATGAATGAATGAATAAATAAATAAAAATAAAAACACTAAAAACAAAATCCTCCCCCTTCCCCCAAAATAACTCATGCAATTTTCACAGTATCCTTTGAGATAGTCCATGTCATTATTACAGATTTATAGATCAAGAAACTGAGGCACAGAAGGTTAAGTAACTTGTCCAGGTATACAACTAATAAGTGCAGGGCAAGGATTTAAACCCACGAAAGTACTTGTGTTTACATGATACCTCTTTTTGATGGTTAAGGACAAAGTCAGCAGCTCTTTTGAGAATCAGGTTTGGGATATAATGAAGTTTGTAAATGATTTTAAAGGTCTGTTCTCAAAGATTAATTTACATAATTTACTGTCAGTGTGGGAGGAGATGAGAATGTATCAAGTCAACTTTCCTAGAATTTTCTTCAGGCTGAAGTCATTCATGACTTAGATAACATTATACAGAGTATGTTTATGAAAATGGCTGTTTACACTGAGTTGTGGTACCTAAAAAGTTTCTCACACAGATTAAATGGAGAGTGAGAAATTACTGGTAGGATTAAAAAGTAGGGACTGGGAGAATAGCTAGAACTAGGTGTACTGTGAAGCTGATCTTACACGCTTTTGCCAAATTATTGTTTTCAGGTGTCCTTGTGGTTAACTAATTTTGTACTCTGAAACTTTAAGTGGTTTATTGGTGCTAACCGTAAGTACCAGGTCTTCCTGCAGCATAGCCTTCCACAGTATGGCCCCGTTTTCCAGTCCTACCTCCAAGACTGTCTTACATATAACCAGTGTCTCTTTCACATTTACCTATGCTATTTATTATTTGTGCCAGACATCACCCTTCTTCATTATGGCTGCTTTCTAATCCTCTCATGTAGTTGCAACATTTTCCATTTTTGAAACCTCAAAGACATTTTTCTTTTTAAGATTTTATTTTTTAGAGCAGTGCTAGGTTCACAGCAAAATTGAGAGGAAGGTACACAGATTTCTCATATACTTCCTGCTCCTACATAAGCACAGCCTCCCCCATTATCAATAGCCCCTAACGGAGGAGTACATTTGTTACAATTGATGAACCTGCATTGACACATTATATCACCCAAAGTCTATAGTTTACATTAAGGTCCTCTCTTGGTATTGTACATTCTCTGGGTTTGAATAAATGTGTAATGACATGTATCCACCATTGTAGTATCATACAGAGTAGTTTCACTGTACTAAATCCTCTGTGTTCCACCTGTTCATGCCTTCCTATCCCTTAACCCCTGGCAACCTCGGATCTTTTTATTCTCCATAGTTTTGCCTTTTCCAGAATGTCACGTAATTGAAATCATACAGTATGTAGCATTTTCAGATTGGTTTCTAATATATATTTAAGATTCCTCTCTGTCATTCCACGGTTTGATAGCTCTTTTCTTTTTAGTGCTGAATAATATTTCATGGTCTGTAGGTGGCACATTTTACTTTTTCATTCACCTGTTGGAGGACATCTTGGTGCATCCAAGTTTTTGCAGTTATGAATAAAACTGCTATAAACATCTGTGTGCAGTTTTTTTGTGTGGATAGACGTTTTCAACTCCTTTGGGTAGGCTGGGCGCGCTGGCTCATGCCTGTAATCCCAGCACTTTGGGAGGCTGAGATGGGCAGATTGCTTGAGGTCAGGAGTTCGAGACCAGCCTGGCCAACATGGCGAAACCTTGTCTCTACTAAAAATACAAAAATTAGCTGGGCATGGTGGTAGGCACCTGTAATCCCAACTACTGGGGAGGCTGAGGCAGGAGAATTCCTTGAACCTGGGAGGCGGAGGTTGCAGTGAGCTGCAATTATGCCACTGCACTCTAGCCTCGGCAGCAGTGAGGGACTCTGTCTCAAAAAACAAAAAAACAAGAAGACAAAAAACTCCTTTGCGTAAATATCAAGGAATGCAGTTGCTGGATCATTTGGTAAGAGTATGTTTGTCAGAAACCTCGAAGAATCTTAAAGTATCCTCTATGGCATGTATCTTTTCAAATTATATATATGTGTGTACACTTGTTACCACCTTCTCATTTATTTCTGTTTCTTTCCTGGCACTTGTCAGTTTTATTAAAGGTTCTAAAGCTGTGGCTGGACTTCAGGGGATTCCTGAACAGGCATTTTTTTTCCCCTTTGATTTGGTTGGTTGAAAAATTATCTTTGTAGGAAAAATTTCTTTGTATCAAATGCTGTTCGTTTCAGACAACTGTAGTGACGTGACTGTTCCACAGCCTGGTAGCACAAGCTTCATAGGAGCAGTGCTGAGGCCGCTAGAATGACTTCCAGTTGATGGGACTAAGAGACCATTGTGCCATTTTGATCTTTTGACAGTCCATCTCTGCCTTTGTCCCTCTCTTTAAATATTAGGCCTATTGAAGAAAATATGAATCATAAATACTCTTCTATTTTACTTTGATTATCATATATTCTAGAATAGAAAAAACAGTATTTTTGATAATCAGATTTTTAAAATATCTGAAGGGCATTAAATATGTGTGAGTATAGGAAGGAATACTTAATTTTAATTAGCATATTTATTAAATTTATTAGCTTAAATAACCTGCCCTTCCTTAAGCATTAAATACTCTTGGTAAATTTAGCAAATTACTCAATTATTTTAATAAATATATCAGACTAAAATTCTTTACCATTTTCATGGTTAGCTTAATTAAATTATAAAATTTTAAGCTGTTACTAGCTTTGTATAGCTTGT